ATTACAGTAATTTTAAATTATTTTAATATTTTCTTAGAAATAAAACTATTTCACTAAGAAAGTATAATAAAGAATAAAGAATATTCTTTTACATTCACCCTTCTGAGTTTTACCCAAGACTCATGAAGTGTTTCTATGAACACAGAATGCACCTGTTGCAGTCACCCAGTTGTGTATTTTTGAGTGTTGACTTCAATTGTCCACAAATTTCCTACTGGGATTTCCAGTTCCCCTCTCCTATGGGTATGAGAATCTCAATTATCTCTTAAGATTGGTGAGGACCTCAATTATCCCTTAAGATCGGTGACGAATTCTGTGTCTGTGTTGTATCTGTTCTGCATCTGTTCTGTATTCTGTATCTGTGAGGTGTGGGAACACACTCTCCCTTCTGATCATCACTTGGGGTACAGCCCTGCCTAATCTTACTTTTGGCATCCATTAAGAGCCCTAAAAACATCCACAGTTCATTCATCCTTTCTCAACATATACAGAAAGTATGTGAAAATACAATTCTTTAAAGAGAGTTGGGGAAATCCTGGTTCTTTTATCCTGGCCATTTCATGCTGAAAGTTGTAAGCAGGATATCCTCCCCAGGAAAAATGGTAAGAACTCCAGGTATGGTTTGCCCCCTTTTTTTTCCCCAATTCATTTTATATCTTCTTCCTAACAGTATATCTCACAAATGATGGAATTTGCCCTAAATATTGTGGTTTATTATCTTTCCAAAGTTTTGTGCCTTTCTGTCCTGAAAAAAATGATACAATGACATTGACTAAAAGTGATTAAGCATTTTTATCTTTATTTCTGCTTCTTTAATTAATTTACTGGGGATTTAGAAATTGTGGAAAAAATGTTTTTTCCTGTAGCCTCTTGGATTTTATGGTGGATCAGGGACCTTACAAAATACATGAGAAATGGTACTCATCTCTATTTTCATGAGTTTATTTTGTTGGCTTCAAGTCCTCTGTACTTTCAAAGAAAAATAGATGTAGGTATAAATAAAGCATTTTTAAGTTTGGAAATAATCACAGAATATGCTGAGGTGGAAGGGACCCACAAAAATCATTGATTCCAGCTGCTGGCCCTGCGTAGGACCATTCCCAAGAGTCACACCATGTGCCCAAAAGTATTATCCAAACACTTCTTGAACTCCGTCACACTTGGTGCTGCGACCACTTCCCTGGGGAGCCTGTTCCAGCACCCAAACACCCTCTGGGTGAAGAACCTTTTTCTAATATCCAACCTAAACCTCCCCTGACACAACCTCAGGCCATTACCTCAGGTTCTGTCACTGGTCACCACAGAGAAGAGATGAATGTCTGTCCCTCCTCTTCCCCTCACAAGGAAGTTGTAACTGCAATGAGGTCTCCCCTCAGTGTCCTCTTCTCCAGGCTGAACAGACCAAGTGACCTCAGCCACTCCTCATACAGCTTGCCCTCAAGGCCCTTTGCCATCTTCATTGCCCTTCTTTGGACACTCTCTAATAGCTCAATATCTTTCTTCCATTGTGGTCCCCAAAACTGCCACAATATTCAAGGTGAGGCCGCACCAGTGCAGAGCAGAGCAGGACAATCCCCTCCCTCAACAGGCTGATGATGCTTTGCCTGATGCCCCCGAGGACATGGTTGGCCCTCCTGGGTGCCAGGGCACTGCTGACTCATATTCAACTTGCCATTGATCAGGACCCCCAGGTCCCTTTCCACAGCGCTGCTTTCCAGCATCTCATTCTCCAGTCTGTACAAACATCCAGGGTCACCCCATCCCAGGTACAGAATCCAGCACTTTCCCTTGTTCAACTTCATATGGTTGGATTGACCAGCCCTCTAATTTATTGAAGTCTCTCTGCAGGGCCTCTCTGCCTTCAAGGGAGGCAACAGCTCCTCCCAGTTTTATGTCATTGGCAGACTTACTTAGTATCTCTTCCAGTCCTGCGTTCAAGTCATTTATGAAGATATTGAAGAGCACAGGGCCTAAGATGGGGCCCTGTGGAACCCCACTAGTGGCAGGTCATCAGCCTGATGTTACCCCATTCACTGTTACCCTCTGCTCAGCCCATGAGCCAATTGCTCACCCACCACATGATGTGTTTGTCCAGCTGTGCTGGATATTTTGTCCAGAAGGATACTGTGACAGACAGTATTGAAAGCTTTGCTGAAAACCAAACAGATGACATCAACTGGCTTCCCTTGATCAGCCAGGTGGGTTACATTGTCATAAAAGGAAATCAAGTTGGATAAGCAGGACTTTCCTCTCATGAAGACGCACTGGCTGTGATCAATGACAACATTGTCATTCAGGTGTTTTTCAGTATCTCCCAGAATAATCTTCTCTGCAACTTTACCAGGCACTGAATGAGACTGACATATCTGTAGTTTCCAAGGTCCTCTTTCTTGCGTTTCTTGAAAATCAGGACAACACTTGCCAGCTTCCAGTCAGCTAGAACCTCTCCAGATTCCCAATATTGGTCAAAAATCGTTGAGAGAGGTTTTGCGATGATATCAGTGGGCTCTTTGAGGATTCTGGAATGAATCCCATCAGGAGTCATAGCTTTGTAGGGATCCTGCTGGAACAACAGATCCTGCAAAATTTTAGGGTCAACTGGGAGTTGATCGTTCTTGCAGTCATGGTCCTCCAGCTCAGGTCACTGAAACCCCTTTGGTCTGTCATCCATGTTGAAGACAGAGGCAAAGAAAGCATTAAACATCTCTGCCTTGTCTCTGTCGCTGTTTGTGAGGTGACCATCCTCATCCTGTAATGGGCTAATTATATTTCTATACTGCCTGTTACCATTAATATATCTGAAAAAACTCTTTTTATTGTTCCCCACCAAACTCCACTTTGCTCACCAGATCCAATATACTGACAAACAGCAGATCAAGGAGGGCATCTTTCCAAGTTGGCTTCCTTATGACCTGCTCCATAGAGTTGTCATACAGGTTTTTTAGGAATCTTCTGGCCCAGATTGTACCAGATACGTGATGCTTCCAGTTAACTTCTGGCAAATTGAAATCCCCCACAAGGGCAAGGGCAGTTGACTTTGAAGTGTCCCTTAGTTTCTCAAAGAATAATTTGTCAGCGTCAGCGTCCTGGCTGGGAGGTCTATAGCAGAATCCCACAATGACATTGGCATTATTTGTTTGCTCCTTGATTCTTTCCCAGAGGCTCTCAACTGTGCCACTGCCAGCTGTGAGCTCCATACATTCTAACTCTTCTATTACATACAGTGCCACCCCTCCACTTCTTCTGCCCTGCCTATCCCTCCTGAAGAACCCGTAACCGTCTAAGAGGGCACTCCAGGCACAGGACTCATCCCACCGGGCTTCACATGCCAATGAAGTCGAATTTCTGGGACTGGGCCAAAGCTTTGAGCTCCTCTTGTTTGTTCCTCATGCATGCAGCGTGAGAGGTCTGGCACTGTCTGCCAAATGTAGGTTCCTACTGTGTGTACCTAATGAAGCAGTCCTGCTAAACTCAGTTCTCGTATTCCCTAAACAGGTGACCAAGGACAAGAGGCTTTGAAGACCTCCAAAGGCAGATTTTTTCTGGCAAGTTGAAGCATCTAATTAGCCTCCTTTCTGGGAGCCTGCAGGGGAATCTAGATTTTCCTACTGATTATACACAATACTGCTTTAGCCGGATAATTATGCCAAAGTTTAGATGTTCATCTTTGGTGACCCTTCTGACCAAATACTTCCTCCCTCCTGCAGGGGAAGACAGGGACAGGGATAGGGTATATGAGCTGGACTTTTGGCCTTCACCAGGCGTTTTCTTGGCTCACATCTTTCTCTCTGTGTCTGCTCTGGTATCAACCCCAGCAATTTGAGTTGCTGGTAGCTTTGCTGCTGTGGGGTATAGGGGTGAATTGAAGTTTGGACATGAAAGGAGCTGGGATACAGATGAGAATGAATATGGGACTTTCCTTCTATTTTTAAACCTTGCCTTCTATTTTTAAACCTGTCTTTGCTGCCTTGCTCAGTAGGATTGAGCCATCTCGGTGTTTCGGAGGCCCGGGGAGCGACATACGTGACGTCCGTCTCCCCTTGTCCATCTCTCCGGGCTGCCCCGCAGCATCTACAAGGATGCTGCTGCCTGCCATGAGGCTCAGGCAGCTGCCTGTCCTCTGGGATCAGCCCTGTCCGGCTCCTTCCACCCGCAGGGGAGAGGCAGGGTGGGCAAGCTGTGTCCCAGGGTGCAGGGGAGGACCTCTCCCCTCTCCCCGGCTCCCCCCTTGCTGTGGCCAGGGGCAGCGGCGGAGCGGAGCGGCCCTGGCCCGGCTGCCCGGCAGATGCCCCAGCCCCGGGGGGAGACGGGCTCTGCGTGGGACACAAGCTCTTCCTGGCGCCCTGTCCTTGCCGTCGCCACTGGCGCCGCCGCCGCCGCAGGCGAGACACCCCCGCTCCCCTCCCAGCCCCTTGCCGCTTGCGCTGCGGGCGCACTTTGTCCTTCATTTGAATAAAACCACCATCAAAACCATTCAGTTGAGTCAGCTAATAAACCGCTTAATTCCCGAATCCATACCATGGGTGATTTAGAAAAGACAATTAAAAAGCCAGGCAACAGTCTCTGTGGCTTTTTACTGTGAGCTCCATCAGTCCAGAGTGCTGCCTGCCATCCGCTTCGCTAATAAAAGCCTCAATACACGGATTGCAATCGTGTTCTATAGGTGCCTGCTTTGCTTCTCCTCCTCTGCCCCAGACTGTCAGAAAATGCTTTCTTGGATATAAATAACTTTTTAATTTTATTTTATTTTATTTTGCTCTCCCTACAGAGTTAGGGCTGGACTAATAATGGTCACGGCATAACCAACAGAAAGAGAATGGCAATGAGACAATCACCCAGTGTGAGATCAGTCCTGACTTGCTGTGAGCTTAACACCCTTCTCCTGGGCAGAGTAAAGGAACAGCAGGGCTTGGGAATGAGCCAGCTCCATCACAGCTCTGCTATTGCGCCAGCAATGCTGGAACATAACCCTCCTCAGGACTGGGATCAAGGGTCCGGTTTCACCTTTGCTAGTCAAAGGCAAAGAAGATAGGACTTATACCTGCAATTAAAGTGGGCACAGTTCTGCTTTAATATCTATTAACTCTGGAGTAACAAAGCTAAGAGAAGAATGACTAAAACAAGACTCACAGCAGGATCAATTTGGAGGTAATTTTTTGTTCTTATGTTTTCCTCCTGCCTGCTCAAAAACAAACTAATATCATGCTAATGTTCCTTTTATAGACACTGCATGAAGCTTGCTTGTTCACATCCTGCAGTATCTGAACAAGAACCTGTCCCAGATCGTATGTTCTGTGTCTCCATTACGTGCTGCTGGGTCAAAATGCTCTGTGAAAAGAGATCTCCAATAGCTCGCAGTTTTCAGATAAATTAGCAAGAATCTGAAGTGTCAGAGATTTGGATTGAATTCAGCTTTTAATTCAGAAAACTCCAGGCTAACTCTTGACTGAAAACCCTCCCCTGTTTCCCAGGCTAGAGGAGTGGCTGGGAAGGCCTTTGCCCTCACTGCCAGAGCAGAGCAGGGCATGGTGCTACAGCAGCAGGAGTGGGAACTGCCTCTTGTGCCTGGAGTGAAACTTAGCAGAGAGAAGTTCCTCAAAAAGAGTTAATCTAGTTCACAACAGAGATTCCTGACTGTGCTGTGTCCAGTGTGTGGGCCTTTGTGAAAGCACTTTCTCTCTTGTTCTTCTCTTTGAAAATTTGCCACCCCAGACAATTGACAAGGCAGTGCTTCTCACTGGATAGCATTAATGGAGTTGTGTTTCCTTGCAGTTTCTACAACTGTCTGGTTTTCTACTTCTCTCCCTTTTTCCGTTTCCTGTTGGCACTGCATCCTAAACTCCTAACCTCTTACACACATGCACTGGTTTTTTTCACTTGCTGGGGGAGGTGCTACACAATGAGATCCATGTAGTGAGAGTTCAATTGCTACATGTCAGAGCACGGCATATGCTAGCCAGTTTTCTCACCCACACCCGTCTCCGTGGGATTTCTCAGCACATTTGCTTCCCAGCTCCTGCACTCAACATGTGCTGCAAAGTGTAGTGGAATATCCGGGTCTGAGGCCCTGCAGTGTACAGGAGGACTCTTTCTGACTTGTATTAATATTGCTGCCAGTGAAATCTGTGGCATTTTGATTGCTTTGGAGCTCCATGGCTGAAATGCTTTTCTCTCTGCTTACCCATATGACTCTCCTTTCAGCTTTTTGTCTTCACATGAAAGGGAGGGCAAAAAAAAAAATCTTTTGATGTTTTTGAGAATATTGCAAGATATTCTCATGAAAACACCATTTCATTTGCTCAGGCGCTTGTTCATACAGGCTTTCATGACTTCCAGGATTGACTATTTTAATTTGTTCCTGGTGGTATTCCAGATTGTTTGCTAAACTGGCTGCAGATGGTTTTGAATGTTGCTGCTGCCAGAATTGTTACTAGGACTTGATCTACAGATCATATTTCTCCAGTCTCACGTTCCCTCTACCCTGGTGCCTCTTAAGCAGCATATGGCCTTAAAATTCTTTACTGACTTATAAAGCTTGCACTGGCCCCGATTCTTTTTACCTTCCTGACCTTATAACACTTTAGACTTTGGCTAAGGCTCATGGCTTATCTGATGTAATGGCCACTGACAGTTCAGAGCCAGCATCCAAAAAGCAGGGTCAAGTATGGCTTTGGGTTTTGCTCCTTGTCATACTTTTCTTTCAGTGAAGGAAGTGGGTTTATTTTTTGCTTCTATTGCTTAATATTCAAATTATTATTCCAAGTTTTACACTAAGCTTTTCCACGTAGATTCACACACAGACACAGATACACACGAAGTCAACATATAAACAGTATGCTGCTCCTTTAAAATTCAAAAGTGCAAACAAAAGCAGTTTGGTTCCCAGCTGATGTAGAAGCGAACTGGTCTAATAAATTCTGGAGAGCTGCTTTCTGACAACAGTGCATGAAGAGGGAGAGCTTCTTGTATGTGCATGGCATGAAAAAATTTTGGAACATTGCCGCCTTTTATTTGCATGCCCTTCAAGTACTTTGATTACTGAAAGCTAAGGAATGTTACTCTTAGCTGTCTGTCAGCTTTGTATTGCTTCATCTGAAAAGCAGGTATGCAAGAACACTGCCTTGCATGGGTATATTTTGTCACAAAGCATTTGATTCCCCTGAAACTAGTGAGACCGTGCTGCTGGTTTTGATCCCTGTCAGATGCAGAACCAAGGACAATAGAAGGGACCTGGGTTCTTTTCACCTGTAACTGAATGTGGTCATAGACCTTTTATTAACAGTGGTATAGCACAAATTCACAGTGGGTGAAATTTTGTATTTACTGAAATCTATGGGAATTTTTTTGGTGGCTTTGTTAGAGACAGGGCTTAAAGGAACAAGGTTTAGAAGCAGAGTTGGCTTGGATTGCAAAGTTGGAAACTATATAGAAAGAGTTCTCGCTGTCAGTAACTTAAGTCAAGATTGCTCTTGGAGGTCATTGAGATGTTATCAGGGTTGTTATAATTTTAGATTCCCTTCTAGAGAAGAGCCACTCTGCAAGCTCAACTGCTGGTATTCATTCTTTAAGGGTTAGGTCAGGGAGGGTTCTTATCCTCTTACTAGTCTTGAGCCCCTCTGGAGAACTGAGCTGTTTGTCGCCAGCTGGAAAGAATTCAAAGTGCTCTCTTCTGCTTCCACCTCAATCTGCAAGACCAGACAAGGACCCTAGGGCTTTCCACTCCTCTGCCTTTGCTGAGAGAAATGCAGTTATTTCTGAGAAGATACGTAAGAATTTCTTTAATCTGAGTAGGTCTGAGTTTACAGATCTCTTTGTCTTCTTAGACTCCCCAGTCTGATTTTCTTGGTGAGATCCTTTATATTTTGTACTTGTTCCTTTTTATTCTGTCTTTCAACAAAGTATAAAGCAGAACATAGGTTCTACTTTCCCTATGGAAAACCATTCCATGCTTTTTTTCTTCTTTCACTTGTTCTAGAGTTGATCATAGTTGCATATTAAATAAATTTCTAGAAATAAAAAAAGGGGGGGGTAGAATTTGAATAGGAAAAAGGGGGGAAAAGAGAAAAAAGGGAAGAAATAGAAGAACTTGAAAACTTATGTTCACTGCCATTTAATCTGAATGCATTCTGTCTGCTTTTTGTGTCAAAAAAAAAGAGAAGAAGGAAGAAAGAATGGACATAACAGCACTTCTTCATAAAAAAATCTTTTCCTCAGGAGAATTGTATATTTTACGAAAAAAAATTCAAAGTTCAGATTACTTTTTGGATCATAGAATATATTAAGTTTATTCCTGTATGGTAAATTTGTAAAGGGAGAATTGTAGTACTCTATAAAAAGTTAGAGTGCCCTAGTACAGTTGGAAAGTATTGGAAAGGAACTGTATCTATAAGGCAGGGAACACGAGACAAAGGACATGGAAACTCATTAAAGTCCCTGACAATTTATTGCTGTGATATTGAGGCCAGATGACTTATGAAGTCCCCAGGTATACAACCAGGTCAGCAATAAGTAGAAATCAGGAGTTACTTTTCTCCTGTGTGTACAGACTAGTATGAGAACATGGCACACAGGACTGCAGTCAGCTTTTTAAACAAGATGTTGAGCAATTGGAAAAAAAAGTTAAGGAAAATGAAGAGAAAGTAAACAAAATTATCTGAAAGATAGAGAAGTTACTTTCTCGAGAGCTAGAGGAGCTAATTTCTCTTCACAATCTTTAAGATCGTTGTGTTTATTTGAATTAAAAGATAGATGTTGAAGTAATTTTTAATTAAACATATATGGCCACAGCAAGAGTTATGGGTGGAAACTCTGGCCAAATGAAGTCAGAAGAAAATGTGAAACAGGCCCTGAGCAGCAATGGCAAGAAACTACTGCAACACAATACCAAAAAAACAGTGATATTGCCTAAACAACTCCAAATGCTTTTCTGAAAGACTTGTGTTCACTCAATACAAGTTTTACTTTAGTCACACATATTACTGAGCTCGCTCACTATGTGAACATTGAATAAAACACTGTGCTATGGGATGTGCAGTAGAACAAACTGAAAGAGATGTTGGCCCATCCTGACCTTAAACTTTGGGAACCTGGGACATAACTTTCTGGGGTAGGCCAGGTTTCTATTACCCCTTGCTTCACACAGAAAGATGGAACAACAACCCCAAGAGGTTACTTGTCTTTACTTTCAAAAGGAGGAAAACAATTAATATCAATATTTTTACAGAACTAGTTAAAATGCGTTTCAGCAGATCCTTTCAATTCCTTTGACTGAAGTTAAATGCCTTAACATTTCCAAATAGAATTTTCATTTTCATCTAATTTTAATTTAGTGACTTGAATGTTTTAGTTCAGGACTCAGAGGGACTTTGATAGTTCAAATGCAGCATCCCCATTTTTCCTCTGTTGGTTTGGGGTCTCCAATTGGATCTTGTATGATGTTTCGACTTCAGGAATGTCTATGGTGAAATTCAGAAATGGAAGCTTATGAAAAAAAGGAGAGCTGGGACATGTATTATCTGAACTAAAATCCCATGAGGCATTTCTCTGACTTTCCTCTCATTTCTCTGACCATGAGGTTTAGTCTAACTGATGTGGTCTGAAGTGGTTTAACTAGTCAAAATGTTTTCCTTGGAGTCAGTGTTGTCCGGTAAAGATTCGGAAACTTCAAGGAATATTATTAATATTTCCTAGCAGTAAAGTTCAGTTTTGCAGAAAATACATTTTATATGGGAAAGCATTCATGGAAATTTCCTGAATAGTTTTATTTAAGAACTAGAGAACCAGCTCTTAATTAAAAGGGGGAGAGTGCCAAATATTAACACCCCCAGGGACAGCGAGATTGATTAAATACGTGTCTAATGTTCTGTTTTTAATCCAAAGGAAACTGCTTCGATGGCATACATGTTGTTTTAAGTTTTTTTCATTTTCCTGAAAAAGTGTCTAAGTAAAACAGCATGTTCTTTATGCTGGGGTGCCATTCCCTGGGGTTACTCTCATCGTGCTCACAGCGCATAAGTGCTGCTTATTTCTCTGAGTGAATAGACACGCCAGCAGCATGAGGGCTAGAAACAACAATGAAGAAAACACTGTAGTGGTCCTTTTGTGTGTCTGACTAACTGCTAGGTTGTGACCCATGGTGATCTGGAGACCCGAGCTTTCTTAAAATTGTTGTCCATTGATTTGTCCTTCCTGAAGTTACAGCTCTTACAAACAGGCGCACTTGATGACTAAAATGAATGGTGGGACACTAAAAATGGCAAAGTTGCTGCTGAAAAATCCATCTCTTTCCAAAATCGCAGAACCACAGGTTATCTGAAGTTGGCAGGACCTCTGGAGGTCATCTGGTTCAGTTCACCCTGCCCAAGCAGGACCACCCAGAGCCAGCTGCCCAGGACCTTGTCTAGAAGGCTTTTGAATGTCTCCAAAGATGGAGATTTTACAGCCTCTCTGGGCAACCTGTGTCAGCTCTTGGTCATCCTGACAGTAAAAAATGTTTCCTGCTGTTCAGAGGGAGCCTCCTGTGCTTCACTTTGTGCCTACTGCCTCTGGTCCTGTCACTGTGCACTGCTGAAAAGAATCTGACTCCATCCTCTTTGGACCCTCCCTTGAGTTAGTTACAGCCACTGATGAGGTCCCCCTTGAGCCTTCTCTTCTGGATAAACAGTCTCAGCTCTCTCAGCCTTTCCTCATAGGACACATGCTCCAGGTGCTTAATCATCTTCATGGCCCTTTATTGCACTCTATCCAGTATGTCCATGTCCCTCTTATACTGGAGAGCCCAGAACTGGCCTGAGCACTCCAGGTGTGGCCTCACCAGTGCTGTGCTGAGGGGCAGGATCACCTCCCTCGACCTGCTGATAATGGCTTGCCTCATGCAGCCCAGGCTACCATTTGTCTTCTTTGCCACAAGGGCATGTTATTGCCTCATGTTCAGCTCAGTGTCCACTAGGACCCCCAGGTCCCTTTTGCAATGCTGTTTTCTAGCGAGGTGGCTCCCAGCATATAATGGTGCATGGAGTTGTTCCTTCCTAGGTGCAACACTTTGCATGTGCCCTTGCTGAACTTCACAAGGACTTCCTTATAAAACTATGTGTTATCAGATAGTAATCTTTGCTGTTCAGATACAAATCACATTAAAATATAGAAGCTAATTTACAGAAAATAATTCTGATCTTCTATCAACACTTACTGCATATGTATTCACCAACAGCACAATCAGAGTCAATTAAGTATCCTGCCTCCTGCTATACCAGATCCACTTTTTCAGAAAATGTGCATGTTGTTGATCAATGTGCTCTAACAATGAAGAATATCTAAATATGTGAGCTATTGAGAGTACTCTTAATGCTGAAATAGCATTACCAAATCTTTCAAATCTCTGCTGCCAAGAGGAGAAAGCAACATATCTTGGTTTTTATCCCTTAACTTATTACCATTGTGGCACAATGTACCATCTCTGAAAGAAAATCCACATCTCTGTAGTACCAACCTTTAACTTCCTGACAGTGATCAGATAGTCTATTGCAATACAGGCAGGTGACTTAAGGAGATATGGATCACACTCAAGATTGCTTTGGTAGCTCTAGATTTTCAAAGCCTTTAAATTTGCAGGATGAGTTATAACAATGTTACTGTAATATCATCTGTTTGAGTGCTTATTAACCTGCATCAAACCACATGATTTTTCTTGAAATGCATCACACATTTGTATGTGTGTGCATATAGGTTTTTTTAATTGAATTTGTAGCATGTTCAGCTGACATAAATCTAGATGCAGTGCCACACTCTTCACTGGCACTTATTTCCTGGAAAGGCTGATGAATAATTGTAACTCTAGCAAATATATTTTCTTAGGTGACTCTAAGGCTGAAAGCCATTTCTATAATCTGAGGTATGAAATACAATTTAAGAAAAAAATATCTCATTCAAAAGTCAGAGTAAATGTAGGCAAAGGTTAAGTCAAATCTGAACCTCTTTTACAGTACAGAAATGCAGACCAGAGGTTGCATTAAATCCACAATCCAGTTTTGTAGACAATACCCTGAGAAAAAAGCAGAAATTCTGAGAAAAACTCATCCATCCATAACCAGCAGGTTCTTCTCATCAGTAAGCAAAAAACCAGAGAGGCAGAAAAGACCAGCAAAGCATTAGTTTACTTTTACCACTAATTCGTGGATGACTAATTGGAGAGGACTGTGTAACAGCAAGCAACAAATGCTCAGTGTTTATATCAAGTAATCCAGTGAAATGGCCAAAGACAAGCCAAATCATTTACAGGAGGCTTTCAGTGTGGCAAAGGCTTTCAGAGTGGCCTTGTCAGTACACAACTAAGCTCTGCTGGAGGTGTTGCATTTAACTGATTCTCCGTGACCCATCCCAGTCTCTGCATACAAGAGTAGTAACTGCATCTACCTGCGTAAAAGCATTAGGTTTCTGGCTGCTGCTGTCTCTCATATGGCTAGGAAAATAAAGCTGGAAAACCCTTCTGGGGATGCCAAATAGTCTCTAGCAAATAAATGCATTGAATATTTCCTTTCATAAAAGCACCTTTAAAATATGATACAGAGCTAATAAATTTTGAAGTCACAGTAAATTAAAATTGGAAGAGTTGGGAAGCCTTTCAAACAGCAACTTTACAAGATACATAAACATAACAGTTCAGTGAGGTGCGTATGGGTAGGAGATCATCTCTCATCTTCAATGCTGAAGACATACCTAAGGAGGAAGTGGAAGAGTTGCAGTGATTGGCACTTGTTTCCAGATCTACTCCTGGATTAGATTAGGACTGCTGTATTTGTGACAAGGGTTTCCTGGCCAGAAGTATGTGTGCATAAACCACCCAGATGGCCTACACATGGACTGGAAATGCATCCCAACCTCAGCATTTCTGATGTACTGTGCATGTGCTATGCAGCTGTGCACACACAGTCAGATGGATCCAGTACACACAGCATTTACACTGTCATCTCTACAGTCTATAAACTACTGGGGGAATCAGGCATATGACACATGTACACAATGTAAGACTTCTGGTTGCTTTTAGTCTTCCTACATCCTAAAATTCATCATGGAGGTAAAAAGAGGACACGCATGGGACAACTCAGATAAATGGGGAACATTCTTTCTTACATATGATTTAGCCAAAAGGTGATTTTGTAGAAGTTGAAAGATACCTGTTGTGCATTTATGGACTGGGACACAGACAACATGAGCAAAACCAATGCTTTGTTCACCCAGTGAAAGAAAGTAAGTGTTTAATACATGACTTCTGGACCAAGCTGCGAATGAAATCATATCAAAGCAAAAATGCACTATTCAAGCAATGCAACATAGCTCCCAGATGCATAAACTTTTGGAGTAAAATAAAACCACATGATCCCCATTCATAAAAGCAGCTTTTGGTGGCATTTGCTCTGCCTTTGACTTGCAAACATTCAAGTGAGAAAGCTTTTGTTCATGAGGATATGTGCAGGGTGGCGAATAGTCCTGCACGTACACTGCTGATATTTAAAACTATATAGTTATACAAACCTCTGTGTAAATAGGCATCTCCTATAGTGATTATCTTGAACACTTTGTTTTGGGAGTCAGGGAGCGGGTAGTATATGGTTTTGATGAGGAAATGCAGACTTGGAAGAACAGAGCAGATAAGCAGTTCATATAAACTGCTATTATACAGAAGTATTTGAAGAAATGTGTGAAAATCAATTCTGTACTTTGGTAAAATAATGTCTGGGAAAAAGCATATAATGGAGATGATGTATTGCTCATAGGGATTAAATGTGCACAGTTGTCAGCTGTGTGTATGGGTAAAATTTTATTGTTCACAAGGAGAGAGGCTTGAAAGATTTACAGAAAGGAAATTCACAATAGAATAGTAGTGAGCATTTTTTGCCAATAACAGGACCTCTTGCAGAATGTTTCTTTCCCTTGTCATTTCAATTCAAGACCTAAACGTTATTCACTGACACACAAACTAACAATGACATTTTAAAGCTTGCACAGTGCATATGCATCCAGCTCCCCTAGGAAAAGTCAGGCAAACACCTGATGCCTGCTGGGAATTTCGCTGTGGGTGCCAGACAGCTGCTGCCCATCAGTGTTTCCAGGTGTGCTTATTTGGTTAGGAGGTCGCTCCAGCTGCAGACACAATCATAGCAGGGACTCAGGCAAGCTGGAGAGACAGCGGACATGCTCAGATTTTGCTGCTTGGGCTGCCTTGGTTTTGCCCTGATTTAGAGCACCTGGCTTGTTGCAGGATGCAGATGTTTGCTCTGTTGCCCAAGAACCAGCACTTCATTCCCTTTATAATGAGCACTGTGACCTGGGGGAGTTATTAAATCTCTGGTTCAAAAGAGTCTAGTTTTCCTCTCTTTTTGTTTCTCAGCTGACAGTCTAAAGTTCACAAACAGATTAGTGGAAGGAATATATAGAAATTAAAAACTTAATTTTCAAAGTCCTCTGAGTCAAATCTAATTGACAATTTGAATTATAGCCTGCGCTGTTCTTTGTTTCATTTTTCTTTGGGGAAATCCCTGGTTGTAGATTTGCTTTGTCCTTTACTATAATTTTACAAGCCTATATTTTAAAATTATTCTGAAGCAACTTCCAGAGGCTGAAGCAATTTTAGGACTACTGCAGTGCTGGTGTGAGACCATGCAATATTCAAAATTGAAGAGATTATACCTTACTCAGGAGACTAGGTACTTTTTTTAAGACCATCAATTTAATTAAAAAACGCAGGCTCTATATTAGCAGCAAGCTTATGGATCATCATATGCCAGTCAAACATAATGAAATACATGCAAATGTTAGATGGCGTATTCTTTTGTCTCTGAAATTAACAATTTCAGTGAACAATTTCTGTACTTTATGTGGGGATTTAATTTTTTTTTTTTTTGCTTTATATCTTAAAAAGTGCTTGTCCGAGTGTGTTCCTTTTGAATGATAAGAAGGGTAAGAAATAATCAATTATCAACAATGTTTTCTTTACAGCTTGGCATTCTCATCTTCCATTAGGGATGTCTGCATCATGTACAGCATCAACATCGTGGCAAGGTGTCCTCTGTCCTATAAACACACTTTTGCCTTTGGAGACTGTTTGCACTGAAGGGGAAAAAAGTCATGAAATTGAAGCCCTGGAGAAAATAATCTATGCTCAAGAAACACATTTTAGCCTTTCTGTCTGAACACGTTTATTTTCTATTCCAACTTCATTCTTCATCACTGTCACCCATCCACTCGGCCATTTGTATTTGAGAAGTCAGGGGACAGGAGAACATTTGCTCTTTGTGTTTCTGCCACTGTCAAGAGCTGTAGCAGAAACTAGAGAGCCATAATGTTACAGTTCCAGTGACTATGTGTCTCTGAGAATCTTAATAAAAGCAAACTAATTTTCAGTAAGGGACAACCTCACAACTGATAAATATGTAAATAGAGTAAAATATATTGGGGAAAAAATCCAGAGTATGAATATGATATGAAGACAACTGCAGAAATAATCTTTCTGATTTATAAATCTGAAATAAAAATAGAGTCTTTAAACAAGTTCTTAAGGATGTCACCAGTATATGACACTAAGTTTATGCCAAAGGGAAGGAATTCTACAGTTCTTTTCTTCTAAAGAAATATGATTCTGATATTACTGCAAGGTCTTTGTAGACTTCTGTTAGTATAATTTTTGGTACATTAAATTGTTACAGCTCTGTCTAAAGATGCTTTTTCTATCAGTACAGGGTCATCAGAAGTTCTCTATGTAGTGTAAAAGGGTCTTGTGAGGAAATTACCTTTTAAATCAATATATGAGAATATTTTTTTTTCTTCATGAATATGACCATTCTTTGCTCAATTATTACATATGCTAGTGCTCTCAGCTTGCCCTAGAGATATGTCATCACATTCTGAATAAGTTCTATTCCTTCAAATACATTCTGGTAACAGCGACAATCAAAGTATTTCCAAAGACAGTAAGTCATAAAGTCCTAAAGGTGCTTTTCACATCTATTTTAAAATTTTTATCTAATTTATTTTCTTTTATTATTATTATCATCATCTATTTTAAAATAACCCTAGTCGGTTATTTTGTAATACATTTTTTTTTATTTATATTTATTTATTATGTAACCCTAGTCACGTTTATTAAATGTCTTCAATTTCCTGATGCCTGTAATCTCACACATACAGAAAGCTTACTGCACATGTAAAGTGTTGTTTGGGTCTATCTAATCTTGTTTTTTCATAGCCAAAATTTAGATTGTTCCTGCTAAGTTATAGAGAAAAAGAGAAAGTACATTCAAGAAAGGGTAATGATAAAATATATGCTTTTCCTATAGTTGAACCACAGGATGTCACTGTTTCTCTTTCACAAGAAACAAGCTTCAGATGTGAAAGTAGAGCAGATTCTTCCTAAAATTACAGAAATGCACAAAAATGACATAAAAAGCACAGAAATTAAGTCAGACGTTTCCTTTTGTATGTGTGAGTCAATCTAGGCAATGTGTTGCCTATGTAGAATAACAATTTAATATTCAATTCAGTCTCATCATGTACCAAGATTGATATATTTTTGGTACATCCCTCCAGACAGAACTGACACATATCAATATGTCCCATATTGCATAAAGAGTCAGGCAGAGCTGAATAGAGTTCAGGCAAAAGTTAATGTAAGACATTAAAACTTCTTGTAACCTTCCCTAGTTAGCACTGAATTTCTAAAATTTAGCACCCTTTGCAACCACAAAGCTGGATCTTGACAAACACATGCTGCTTCTAGAGATTTAATATGATCCCTCCGCAAGATCTTTGGTTGCCTTCATATACAGAGTGTCCATCCTAGATGTCCCATAGAATGCTGGACTCTAACTTAGAGAGGCTTTAAGATGTCAGTGTGCTTCAGGCAGCGTTTTACATAAGTCTCTGAGGTCATTGCAGAATAAAGTCCTTTCCGCACACTCATTCTGATGCTTTCTTTTCCTCATTGCAGTACATGGGGCAACTCCCTCACTCTCCTCAAATCTTCTTCAGAAGTACCGTGTTCAAAACTCCAGTAATATTGATCTGCCAGTTCACACAAATCCAAATGCTGTTTATTTAATTACCATTTGCTGTTGATTCCACTTCTAGCTTTCTTATGTTTTCTTGGGAGTGATCTTGTTCTTTCTGAATTATTTCTCTATACTGAACACACTGATTGCACGTGATACATAATAAAGAGCTGGGTTAGTGTCATAGATTTCTCTCATGCTCTAAGGTCTAGTGACATAGGTTTTGGGAGACGACTGCTCCCTGTTTTTTCTGGAATGGCTTGTGTAAAATGCAGGCATTCTGACACATTTTACTCACCTTTCTGATTTCTATACTTCTCACAATTTCAGTAAAATGGACTCTTCTATTTTCATTCCTCTTGTGGGATGACATGTGAAATATATGGAAAATGTGTAGGAAGATTTTTCACAATCACCAATTTCATCCCTGCAGCCCACTGAGATCTCAAACTGAATCACACCCCATCTTCTACATGTCTGAAATAATTCCCATGCTATTCTTTAAAACGGCAGCCAGGAGTCAGTGAGAGGCGGGTGCAGAGACATGAAACATAAGAGAGTGCAGTACCTGCAGGATTCTTTTTTCTGAAGATTATCTAGCATCTGTCTGAAATCTAACTTTTCCTATCACAAAGGAACTTCTAAAAATAATTACACATTTAATCTTCATTATAAACAATGAGGGTACTTGGCATGAGTCAGTCTTACTGGTTCTCCTTCCAAAAAAGAGAGGAGCTAGCAATTTGGGGTAAGGGATTGTGTAGTGGTTAGCAAGACATATGGTGTGCAGCATAAGGACCATACTGGAAACAACTCAAGACAGTAGCAAAATTCCCACCCACATCTCCAGATATGAACCTGGCCCATAAACACTTTCTTTATTTGACAAAACACAGTATAAATTACTTTCTATTTTATAAATGGACTTTATAATTCCCCCTAAATAAGGGGGATTATGAATGCCTTTGAGCTCTCTGATGCCAATGGCATCCTCATTGCCGTAAGAGCTAAAACACTTGAAATGTGGAACAAATGTACAGAGGTTAAGAAGGGTTTGTAGGACAGGTACCTAAACCAAATATGTGGTGACAAGCATTTCCTAGAAAAATTTCCAATATTTTGAGGAATAGATGTATTATATGTACATATATATATATTTTATATATATATATACATATATATATATGTATATAATGCGGAGGTAACCATAGGCTGAAGAACAGGGATACAGTATTTTATCTATTGATACAAGTGGCCAGGATGACACATTTGTGCCTCAAGTTTTCTGTTTCCACAAACTACAATTAAAACTGGGTCTCCCACGGGTCAGCCCATGCTGTTCTAGCGGAGTAGAGTGAGAATCTGATAGCAGTATGACAGACGCATCTTCAGTAGCCTCAGCAAGGCTAAAATATGAAGCAGCAGAAAGAAAGATGGGGCAGCACTGATATCCTCCTAGGCTACCAGCTAAACACTTCTCTTGTGTGACAAAATGTAACTCCACTGCAGTGTTACTGGGGCTGGTGAAACATGGCATCTTTGCTGCAGTCATACCCTTCGGTGTAGTAATACATTGTTCTGTGACAGCACTTTCGTTGAAGCTTCTGTCCATATGCATTGTTGACAGAATATGGAAACAAACACACTAACAGTCCTAATGCACAACAGGCAGAGTTAGGGCAGTAATATTTTTTGCTTTTCCCAGACCATGTGTCAAATTTTACTTTGCTCTGAATGAAAGCAGAATTTTCTCCCGAAGAAAAGATAGGGAAGATCTTGTTAGATTGAGGACAGAATGCCATAGGGAGAGTGAGCAGGTTACAAAACTCTCCAGTGTCTTTTTTTCAGCTGTATTGATTTTTTTTTTAATTTCTATTTCATTTTAAATGAATAAAAATAATTTGTAGGCCTTAGGACCCTCAGGGATACTGAAGCCTGGAGCAAATTTAAGCATACTTACCACTTCAAAGTGATCTGGGCTTTCTCTTACAGCAGACTAGTTAGCATTTCATGGGGAAAAATTCCAGGATATTTCTCACCGGAGACGAGTGTAGAGAAAATGTGCTTGGCTTCCAGCAGAAATAAGGTGGGTTTGAAATGTTACCTTTTTTATATGGGACTGTTCCCTTTAATATCTTCTCAATCCTTGGTTGTCCAGACAGTCACAACTGCAGTCAATATGTCCTGCACCATTCAAAATCTCTCCAAGTTTGGGTGAATGGACATTCTGAGGGCTTTCATATCTGATGAGTTCTGGTTTTGGTGATCTTAGGGATGTGTGGAAAGCTGTTTTGGTTTGATGAGACAATTACTATAGATTTTTTGTATGTGTTATGGTTGGACTAGAAGATCCCATCAGAGATCTGTGCCCAGCTGTGCCATGTGTCAGGTGATAGTAGATGTGAGTCTTAATCAGTAAGGGACTATCTGAAGCACATACTTAGTGCTTTCAGCATTGTTTACAAATTGTTCTGGTGCCGAAGCAAATTAAGAGCTTGCATGAAAAATCCTAAATTTGACTCATAGTCTAGCTGAGAGTGATGACTGAAAAAACAGATTTCATGAAGTTTTAACTGGCAGAAACTGGAGAGCCATACCCTGCAGATGGAGCGTTGGTACCAACCCATGGAAGCCACAGGTGCTTGATTGCTGCCTGCTTGGCGAGTTCTGCCAGAACTTCAGAGACAGAAAGTTTGTTTGGCACTGATGGCATGTTAGCTATTTGCAGTGTCAAACACTCAGTAACCTCAGTACCTCAGGCATGTCCAAGATAAAGGAGCAAATGAGGGGAGTAAGTCTAAAGAGTAGACATAGGTACCAAGTCCCTTCCTGACTGTACTTTGTCATAGTTTGAAATTGGCCCCCCCGAGAGGCTGGGGGGCTCAGAGGTGACTGGGTGCCAGGGCAGTGTTCCCTGGAGAGCCAATCACCATTCGTCTTGTTCGCTTCTGCTGAAAAATCATATATACCCAGCAGGGAAACTGTTGGCAGTGTTTCTGTTGGTGTCTGCTGCGTGTAGGTGGAGAAGGCCAGGGAGTGGCTGGACTCCTTTTCCCCCCTTTGGGGGGGGAAGGGGAGCCCTGCGGCCCCCCAGCTCTGCCTAGGCCAGAGTTAGAGGCAGCATTTAGAGTGAGTGTTTGTGAGGGACGTGACTCACAGCACCTGAGGTAAGAGGAGAGAGGCAGGCCTTGCAGCCAAGCCCTCTTCCCCCTCCTTTCTGCAGTTAAGCTGTGGAGGGGGGCCTTTTCTTTCCCTCCGCTGTAAAGTGGAGGAGAGGCTCAGAATTGGAGCAGAGCCAAAGTGGACAGGCTAAATTTAGCTCGGAGCCAGGGAAAGGAATCCCAGGTGAAATTGGAGACGGACTGAAGAGAGAGGTCAGGAGGATGTCTCTGCCATGATCTAAACGCAGGACAGCCGAAAACCCGGAGGAGGAATCAACATTCCAGGACCCATACTATGATAAGCTACACTGCAGCAGCCTACAAACCAAGGTATGAGACTGAGAAAGAGAGATCACACAGCAGACCGAGGAGAAAGGACTCAAAGCTACTTTCTTGAACTTCGTGAGGAGAAAGACTGCAACAAACAGCTGGAGCTTGGTGAGGGGGGAGCTTTCGGGCCCCGAACACTCCCACGAGGGAGAGACTGGTTACTTCCCAGCCTGAAAAGG